ATAGAACCGGGCGAGGAGAAATACAAGAATCAAGATCACTATTTTGAAAACCTAGATTTATGTTCAGATCTCTTCTAGATTTGATTTATATTATTGAGATTCAGCCAGCAAATTGCCGATGGCTCATCAACTTTTTTGAAATTTAATTTTAAACAATTTAGAATTAATTACCATTTCTATAAAATTCCTCTCAATTTTTAAAAAATAAAATTATTAATTTAGTAATTTCCCTCAAACCCCTAAAAATCCCACTCAGCCCCTCCAAACATTAATTCATCAAACAGCAACAGTTTTACCCTGCCAAAAGTCATCCTTTTTTAATAATTCTTTTTTTTAATTTACCACCCTCAAATCTTGTTTTTATTGTCCTCATCCAATTTTAGCTTTATTTTAGCTTTATTTTGGACTCCCTCTCCCTCAATTTTTTTGTCAATAACAAACAACCTTTATTTCATATTTTCAATTGTTTTGGGCTTTAAACAATGAGGGTTATTTTGGGGTGACTTTTTGTGTTATAGGAGGAGATTGTGTGAGGATATCCAGCTAGTAAATGAATTTTTCCGTTAGAATGGACTCTCCTCTTCTATCCAAAAATAATAATAATATGTAGAGGTTTGGGAGTTAATAAATAAAATTGAATTTTGGAATTGATTTTTGACTTTTTTTTGGGTAATTTTGGAAATTGGAAGATATGTAGCAGGGGTGTGCCGAAACGGATTTTAAAAAGCGAAACGCGAAATGCGAAAGTACAAAAAAGGCGAAAATCCGCGAAATGCGAAACGCGAAAAGCGAAACTCGCACACCCCTGATATGTAGGCTCTGTAACATGAGTGGGCTTAGTATCCTGTTAAAATCTCGTATTTTTTGAGAGATCTCGTTCGTTTTATCTCGTTCTTGTATTTTTTTGGGAATCTCGTATTTGTGAATCTTGTGTCTCGTATTTTATGGGACTCGGCCCACCCCTGTTATGTAGGCTGTGATCTCAAAAATTGTTAGTTATTTATCATTAATTTGAGTGCTCGGTCCTTAGAAGATTTTTGGGTATCTGTAACCGAAAATTTTTGAGGGAGAGAATTTTCGAAATTTCGCCTCGATAAGATAGAAAAGACAATTTTTTAATTTTGATATTTTTAGAAGGTCAAGAAGCCAGTAATGCTACGTTTTTTGAGGGATTGAATAATGGACATGAATAGAAGAACCGATGCTTAAATCCACGGTTATTCGGTCTTGTCGATTTTGATCTAAATTTTGGAACCTCTACCCTTGTTCACAAATTTAATTAATTTTAAATTTTTTAGAGTTACTAAAATCAAAAATTAAAAATAAAATTTATTTTTAAAAAATATTTCTCAAAGACTTGTGTTGCTTCAACTATCTGTTTGCTTTTAAGCTGCTCAATTTGCTAATTAAATTCAAACAAAGGCATTTATTTATGTACTTATTTTTGGTTTAATATTTCACTTAAGAAATAAAATAGTGAAAATTAATTTTTTATTTTTAATTTTATTAAAAAAATTTTTCTTTCAAAAATTTCTTTTTCAAAAATTTTCAAAAAAAATTTTTTTTCATCTGCCCCAGAAATTAATAAAAATTAATAAAAAATTATTTTAAAAAATTTTCCATTTATATAAAAATATTTTTTATAATAAAAATTTTTTTTCATGCCTGAATTGCGTGTATGCCTTTAATCTAAAAGTTATTAACAGGTGTCTCTTCTCGAAGGCAGGTGCAATCTATTTAAGTGGTGTTGTTAGGCTGGGGAGACTTGGTTGGGTTACTGTAGAGTATTGAGAGAAAAAGTTTAGGGGAAGGTTTCTAAGGAGAAAAGTTTCTTTTTTAATTAATAAAAAAGTTTTACAAATTGTAAAATTATTTATTATATTTCCAACTTGATTGTGAATTTAAATTACAATTTGTAATTACAAACTTGAATTAATTCAAGTTTTAATTAATTCAAGTTTGTTTTTGTCAAGTTTGTATTTTGTCAAATTTGTGTATTTGTTGTTAAAACTTTTTTTGTGTGATGGACAAGTTGTATTTTCTTTTTCAAGTTTATTTTCTCTTCCAAGTTGTATTTTCTCTTCCAGATTATTTTCTTTTTTACAATTTCCTTTTTACAAATTGTAAAAAGTTTATTTATTTTTGTTAACTACAAATAAACTTGTGCTGACAAGTTTATTTACTTTTACAATTTGTATTTTCCTTTTTTACAATTTGTAGTTTCTTTTTACAATTTGTATTTTCCCTTTACAACTTTCTTTTACAAATTGTAAAAGGTTTATTTTTATTAACTTAAGACCAACTTTATTCCTTCCCTCCCATTTCAACACCCTTTAGCAGTCGGAAATCACCCCTATTAACTACGCCTGTGGAAATGGTTGGTATTTAATGCTGTTAATGTGTTGTTTAGGAGAGTATTGGATGGAGGAATAATGAATGAAGTAAAACAGAAGACTGGCATTTTTATAAATTTTTTTTGTTTTTACTTGGAAAATAGTCAAAAGCCATGCAATATTTATAAGCTCTCTCCCACACCGTCACTTGACGATACGTTGGCAGATGAGGTCCTACTATCTATTTAGCTCGCCTGAAGAGAAAATAATTTTTGTTGTATTTAAAATAAAATAAATGGAAGAATCTATTTTTTAAATAAATAGAAAAATATTTTAAATAGAAAAAAATTACTGTATTTTTTAATTAATGAAAATAATAAATATGAAGCATAATAATTTTTAATAAATTCAAAAAAAAATAATGATAAAAAATAAATAATTTGATTATTTAAAAGCGGGTTTCTTAAATTCAGTTTGACTTGAATTATGAAAGGTCTCCTTTCCACGGGGGGAAGGACTTCCTCAATGCTTTCACTTTAGTGTACACTTCATAAAGAATGCCCCGGTATTTTTTAATGTAGAGATGTTTTGATCCTTAGTGTGTACAAGAAAGTAAGGTCTGATAAGTGTTCACTTTGTCTGGATAACTTGGAAGTCCTCTCATCCTATCATTTTATCCCATTTACGAGGTGTTGGTAGGAAATTTAAAAAATATATGAGGCAATAATTCATCTCAAAATTAAAATTATAAAATAATAACACTAAATTAATGAAAAATGCTTTTCATGCTCCTACTCATTTTCACACAAATTTCCCTTTTCCTTAACTAAATTTTTAAAACAATTCTTTCCTTCCTCATAATAGATTCAAGCTACTAGCCTTCTACTAAGCACCTCCCCCTTTATTTTTCCCTCATTCCCCCCTTCCCCCTCCACCTTCCCCCATATCCCTCCCCTCATTCCCTCCTCCCCTTACCTCTTCCACTCCTTCCCCCATTCGTCCCTTCCTTTCAACCTTCCAAATAATTCATTACAGACCTTCCAACTTGTCAAATATTCTGTTTTTAGGGTAAACAGCCTCAACAGCCTTTAGAAAAAAAAAATTTTCCTCCTTTTCTAGGCTAATATCCAATTGAATATTCGATAGATTCTCGAGAAGCAATTGATTATTTATTATTTTATTAAAATTTAATTTGAATTTTCCTTTGCTTTACCTTTCTCCACACATTTATTTTTCATGTTTTCTCTATAAGCAAGTTAATTTTTCATAAGTTCTCTTTTTTGCAATTATAATTTTGATGGTTGAATAAATTTAAAATGTAAAAATAAAGTATTGTTAAATAATTAACAGTAATAATAAATATTTTAAAATGTAGGGAAGAATGAAAAATATTTTTGAATAATTTAAAAATTAATTTATTAATTTTTGGAATTAATTGAAAATTGATTAAATTAAATAATTTATTAGATTAAATGATAGATACCGTATTTTCTCAATTAATTCCCATCCCTCGAATAATTCCCCCTCTCGATTAATTTCCCATGCTAGAATTGGGTTGAAACGATAATTCCCCACCCCCAAATACCCTACTGCACGTTCAAAAGCCAAAACTCGAGTAATTCCCCTCCCTCGATTAATTCCCCATGCCAAGGAAGTGTTGAAAAAATAATTCCCCAGAGGAATTAATCGAGAAAATACGGTAGATAATTCATTCGGTTCTCGTTTTCAAATACCCCCTAGTGTCTCAAATGATAGTATATCAAAGTGGTGATATGTTAAATTGAGGGATACAATATTATGGTATAAATTAGGCAGATCAAGAGGCAACCAAAATTTTTAAAAGTTGAGGGGGGGGGAATTAATTTTGGAATTTAATTTGATTTTTCTGTTACTATGATTATTAATTCTATTATTAATTAATTTTTTTAATTTTAGAAATTTTTTTAAGATTTTCTTATCCAAAAATTAAAAGAAAATTTTTATCCAAAAAGGACAATAAAATAAATTAAAATGGACCGTTTCTTACCGTATACTCATTTTGGCAATGGCCAACAATCTCAACGTATTGATGACGGGAGAAGTGACAATGAATCGAGTAATTTAATTAATTAAATTGGGGTATTTAATTAGTAGAGGGAATAATCAGAAAATTGAATAGAAAAAATAATTCTGATAATAAAATAAAATTATTTTATTCAAGTGCATTAACATCAAAAACACAAAAATCAGAATTTTAAAAAACACAGAAATCAGAATTTAAGTATACTCTGTTAAATTCTGATTTAAGCTCTGTCTAAAATTCTCATATTTTTAATGTCAGCTATACCAAAATTCTGATTTTTCTAAAATCAGAATTTTGTGTTCATTAAAAACACAATATCAGAATTCGAAAACACAAAAAGTCAGAATTTTAAAAAACACAAAAATCAGAATTTCTGTTTAAAATTCTGATATTTTAATGTTTAGCTATTACCAAAATTCTGATTTTTGTGTTTATTAAAAACACAAAATTAAAAACACAATATCAGAATTCGAAAATACATAAAATCAGAATTTTATATAAACTTTGTTTCTATTAACTAAAATAACCCTAAATAATATTTTAAAGTTGTTGACAGTAATCCTGCTACCGAGCAAAAATTAAATGTGAGGGGAGATACTCAGTCAATGAGACTTCAAATGCCAAATAATGTGAGTACAAAAATTCAGAAAAATTAAATTAATAAAAATTATAGCCACACAATATTTTTGGAAGTAATGGGCAAGCAGGGGCGGGGGCAGTTTATGATGAAACTTTTATGCAGGCTAGGTGAATAAATTTTTTGAAAAATTAAAAAAAATTTAAAAAAATTTAATTTAAAGAAGCGCAGCAGCCCTCGCAGAAATGGAGTCTAAAATTGCTGCTCAATCATTTACTTCTGGTATGCTTATACCGCCGCAAGTTGATACTTCGTTTGGGCATCATTCTTCGATGGAACAAGTTGCAAACAATAGCAATACTGCTTTTCAGGTTGGAATAATTTAAAATCAGAATTTAATAAAATAAATCAGAATTAAAAAATCAGAAATTAAATATAAATCAGAAACACAATAGAATAATTCTGATAAATAAAAATCAGAATTTATAAATAATTCTGAAAGAAGAATTAAAATACATTAACATCGAAAACACAAAAATCAGAATTTTAAAAAACACAAAAATCAGAATTTTAAAAAACACAAAAATCAGAATTCGAAAATACAAAAAAAAAATCAGAATTTTTTTCAGAATTTCTTAAAAATTCTGAAACCAAAATTAAAATACATTAAATCAGAATTTTAGTAATCAGAATTTTAGCAATCAGAAGAAATAAAATCAGAATTTTAGTAAAATCAGAAACTTATTTTTAAAATTCTGATAAATAAAAATCAGAATAAAAAAAAATAATTCTGATTAATTAAAATCAGAATTTTATTAAAATAAAATTGAAAACACATTTAATTCTGAATTTAATTAAAGGCAGAAATGGCCGCTCTATGTCAACAGCAAATGCTTCACGCCCAAATGTTGCAGCAAACTTGCTTCACTCCCGTTACCGGAATACAACATTATAACAATTCGGCAGCTTCGACAACAAGTAATACAATTTCAAACAATCTTCAATCATCCTCTTCTATGGCACATTTTCAACAAAATTTAAATAATTCTTCCCCTTTTGGCCTACACAATTATTACTCCCCTCACCAACAGCAACAACAGGCTAGTCTTTTTATTTTGTAAATTTAGAACAAAAATGTTAAATTAAAATTTTCTGAAATCTGTTTTTTTGAGATTCAGGTCTTTCTGATTCTGATTTTTTATTTCTGATTTTTGAAATTCTGATTTTTTAATTCTGATTCTTATTTCTAATTTTTCTGAAATTCTGATATTTTATTTCTAATTTTTCTGAAATTCTGATTCTTATTTCTAATTTTTCTGAAATTCTGATATTTTATTTCTGATTTTCTGAAATTCGGATTTTTATTCTGATTTTTTGTGATTTTTCTGAACTTCTGATTTTCTAATTCTGATTTTCTGCTTTAATTCTGATTTTTAAAAATAATATTCATAAAGAAAAACAGATGTTAAGTATTCCTTTCTTCTCTCCTTTTCCCTCCTCCTCACCCCTCTCATCCATGAACACATACAAAAAATAAACTTTCAATCCATCTTAAATTTAAACTAAAAATAAAGGCTATTCAAGAGAGGATAATTAAAAATATTTTTGAGGGAGAAAAGGGGTTTTGCTTGATTTTTGCCCCTTTTTTTCCTTTGCGCGGTTACTTGCCGAGAGAAAAAAAATATTTTTTACCTTATGTCGGAGTTTTTGATTGACTTGAAAATTAAAAAGAAAGGAAAAAAGAGATTATCCACTCCCTCCAAGTTAATTTTCTTTGGTTAATTACCGCGACCTTTTAACCCGAAAACTAGGCAGTTATTAAATTTAAAGGATTATTATTGGATAAATATTTAAAAAAATATTTTAGTAAAATAATAGAAAATGAGTGGTTAGTGCTAAAAGGACCTCTAAAAAAGATAGAATCCTGAAAGCTGCCTTGTGAGCTCCCTTGTCATGAAAACTGCCTTGAAGCTGTCCTGAAAGCTGTCTTGTAATTTGTCCTAGAAAGCGAAGGTTTTATAATTCCGTGACCGAAGGTTTGCTAACTATCGAGACATAGACCGTGGAAACTCCAAAAAAAGAAAATAATTGAAAAATCAGGACTTAGAGTCTTGAAATAGCTATAAAGACATCTACTTGAAATGAAAAGATTTTTAAAAAAAATTTTTGGAATTATCCAAGTTTCCGGTTTTACCCTTCAGAATTTTCAACATTTTCGTATGGGTATATTCCGTAAAAATCGTTTTCTGTGTTAAAAAATATTTTTTCCTAAATTGTATAGAGGCTTCATCGTGGGAATTTTGACAAATTTGTGTTGGTTATTATCCCATCCAAATATCCTTTTTATTGTTTGGATATTAAGGGTATACAAAACACTTTTAAATAATCGTTTCATATTTCTTCTCACGAAGAGAATAGAGGAAAAGAATTTTTTAAATTTATTTTTGGAAGAAAAAAAATTTTTTTTGAAAATATTATTTAATTTTTAGATTATGAACAAAAGTACCCTATTTTTAGAATTAAGCCTAGTATTAAATAAAGTCCTCCCATCCTCTAAATGTAAAGCACCTAAATGTAAAGCACCACCGTAAAATAGAGCCATGATTTGAAGGGAAAATAAGGCCATGTAGCTTTATTTTCGGAAATACTAGAGATGTCCAAGACCAAAAATTTTTCAAGATTCAAGACAAAGAATTCACCCTAATACCAAAACTGGAGGAAACCCAAGTAAAGTCTGAGTACAAATCTCAAACCCAAGAGTCTTGGGCAGAGGTCGATCGGAAATGACGAAGATGCTGAAAATCGGAACTGTCGGAAATAGCTCAAATTTTCGGATGTCGGAAATCGAAATTCTGATCGACCTGAGGTCTCTAGGACATAGATTCAAAATTTTGTATTAAAAAAATAATTTTCCTACTCATCCAGTAAATAAAAAAAATATGAATTATTTATTATAGCCACCTAAATCCTCAATAAAAATAACCGCTTAATTTTTTGGTCTTTATCCGTTTCTAAAATTAATTGACTTTTACAAACATAAAAAAAATTTTTATTTTATTCTCTTTATTCGTTCCGTTTACCTAAATTTTTCTGTAATAAATCTGTTTATGGAAGGTTTTCTGATTTTAGAAAATAAATAAACCAACCGCCGCCCTTTTGCCAAATATTTCTGGATACTCTAGGGATTACATTAGCGAATGAATTTGGGGTTCATAAAATATACGGGACTATGTGGAGGAATGAAATAATGAAAAGAAGATGAAAGGCGGTCTTTGACTATTTTATTTTTTTATTTTTACTTGTACATATTATGGTAGTTAATTAAAAGGGGATTGTGAAATTTTAAAAAAATAATAAAAATTAAATTAATAAATTATTTTTAATAAATTAATTTTTGTTTAAATAGACAGTAGAAACTCGGATTTATATTCCCCCTAATTTAGACCAAAGATGGGCTTCCGTTTTTAAAATGTGCCGTACACATTTCTGATACACACTAGGGACCAGGGATGGATCCGCTTCCGCGTTTAGCTTTTTAAAATTGAAGATTTTCCATCCCTGCTTGTATCTATCCATGATAAGAAGCAAAATTTCGATTCCGCAATCGAAAATTCTCAAGAAAAAATTTTAATTCGTGGTTTTGGAATAGGATATTGGATCGGATAGAACCCTGATACATACACACTAATTTATATACCTTTTCTTAGTCGGCTAGTATGGGGCTCCATCCAAAACGTCCTCGACGTCCAGCTAAGTGACCCCCATTATATTTACAATTTTTTCCGTACCAATGGGATATATAAATTAGAGATCCGCACATATCTTAATTTTATTCTAACTAGTCTTTTAACAAAAATAAACAAAAAAAGAGTTTTTTTATTTCAATAAATTAATTTTTCAGTCATTATTGGCTTCTAACACCTCCCCCACCACAAATTCATTTCTCCTTCCAAATGTTTCAAATATTGTTGAAACAAATTCTACAAACATTTCATTAAACAGAAATGCCCAAAAACAACAACAAAACCAACAACGTTTTAATAGTGGAACGGCTATCTCAACATTATATGGGGCAACGGCTAATTTAAATGCTAATAATAATATTGCTGGTAAAAATAATTTAAAAATCAGAATAATATCAGAATAATTTAAATAAATAAAACAGACTAATAAAAATCAGAATTTACTGTAAACATGAAGAAACTGAAAAATCAGAATTTTAGAAACCAGAAAAACAAATAAAATACAAATAATCAGAACAAATAAAAAAATCAGAATTTATTTAAGTTTTATTTGTTCATATTGTACATAAAAATCAGAATAAATAAAACTTGAATAGATCAGAATAAATAAATCAGAATATAAGAATCAGAAAAACTTTAAATTAAACTTGAAATAAAACTTGAAATAAAACACATCAGAACAAATAATCAGAATTAATAAAATCAGAATTTATTCAATTTTATTTGTATATAAAAAATCAGAATAAATAAAACTTGAAATAAAACACATCAGAATAATACAAAAATACAAATCAGAATAAATTAAAAATTACGTAATAAAATACACAAATCAGAATTTTAAAAATACAAAAAATACAAAATCAGAAAAGGAATTTATTTAACCTAAATTTTCCCTTATTTTAATCTTCAGAAATTCTAAAATTATTTAAATTAATTTAAAAAACAAAATTTAAAGAAATTGACACGGACCCATTGGAATTACAACATTTTGCCGAACATTTTAAACAAAGAAGAATAAAATTGGGTGTTACTCAGGCAGATGTAGGGAAAGCTTTGGCCTATCTAAAAATGGCTGGAGTAGGGTCCTTATCTCAATCTACAATTTGTCGATTCGAATCGCTGACACTTTCCCATAATAATATGGTAGCCCTTAAACCGATATTGCAAAGCTGGTTGGAACGGGCAGAGGAAGCAACTAAACAACAAGCTGTGGCGACTGCGGTTAGTCTTTATACTATGTTCTACCTAAAACAAGAAATATTATTTTATAGGCTGTGGAAGCTGGTGGTGTTGGGGGAGCGGGGGGAGGTGAGGAATTTTTATTGAAAGATCAGAATTAAAAATCAGAAACAGAAATCAGAATTGGGAATCAGAAAAAATAATCATAACAAAAATCAGAACAATAATTCAGAAATAAAAATCAGAACTAAAAGTTAGTTGAAGCTTTAAGAAAATATCAGAATTAAAAATCAGAACAATAATAATTTTTTCAAAAGATGCCTTAACCCTTCAATGCATCGCTGCCGCTACCGCAGCTTCCGCCGGTATATTGCCCTGTTCAGAGAAGAAACGTAAAAGAACATCCATTGCTGCACCAGAAAAGACAGAATTAGAAGAACAATTTAAATTACAAAGTCGTCCTACGGGTAGAATATTTTTTTAATTTTTTATTAAATCTTAAGATAATTTAGGTGATCGTATAGCTGCTATAGCAGAAAAACTTGATCTCAAAAAGAATGTTGTTCGTGTCTGGTTTTGTAATCAAAGGCAGAAACACAAAAGGTAAAAAATTATAAAAAATATAGTAAATACGATTTATATATTAAATCAGAATTAATAAATTAAAATCAGAATGTTTAATTAAAAATTGGTTGAAACACATACTGGTTTCAGAATTAATTAGTATTAGAATAATCAGAATAAGATTAATTCAGAAATCAGAATTCATTAGTTTATTAGATATGAAACACATTATAAAATCAGAATTAATTAAATATAAAACACATTATAAAATCAGAATTAATTAAATATGAAACACATTATAAAATCAGAATTAATTAAATATAAAACACATTATAAAATCAGAATTATATATAAAACACAAAAATCAGAATTATTTAAATATAAAACACATAAAACCAGAATTAATTAAATATAAAACACATTATAAAACCAGAATTATATATAAAACACAAAAATCAGAATTATTTAAATATAAAACACATAAAACCAGAATTAATTAAATATAAAACACATTATAAAACCAGAATTATATATAAAACACAAAAATCAGAATTATTTAAATATAAAACACATTATAAAATCAGAATTATATATAAAACACATAAAACCAGAATTAATTAAATATAAAACACATTATAAAACCAGAATTATATATAAAACACAAAAATCAGAATTATTTAAATATAAAACACATAAAACCAGAATTAATTAAATATAAAACACATTATAAAACCAGAATTATATATAAAACACAAAAATCAGAATTATTTAAATATAAAACACATAAAACCAGAATTAATTAAATATAAAACACAAAAATCAGATGCAATAAATCAGAATTACAAAATCAATTTCCATATACATAAAACACATAAAATCAGAATTATTCAATAAAATTATATTTTTGTATTTCAGAAATCAATTTCGTACAAATCGAGTAATATCCGGACTTTCTCAAATGGCCAGCAGTAGCGATCTTGATCAGCACCAAAAATCACCAATTTCACACCATCAAATACAACACAACCAATATCAGAACCCTTTAGACAATAAATTGGTAGCCTCGTGTAACTCGACAACTACAGCCGCGGCCGCATCTCTAGCAGCAGCGGTTCAAGCGGCAGCTGCTGCTAGTATGCATCATCAACTTAGAGAACAGCAAAGACAGTGTAAAGAATCAATTTAATTTTTGAATAAATTAAAGTGAAAGTGTGTTTTTGTGCTGAAACCCGATTCGAAAAAAATTTCGAAATCCTGACCCGAGTTAGAAGGTGTGATTAGGGAACGGCTTCTGTCCATCAGCGCATTTACGGCTTTACCTTTACGTTCCCTAACGGCAGCTATTGGGTTGATCAAACCATCTCCTATGGGACACACAGAAAGCTAATAAACTAGAAACTGATATCGAAGGAGTAGTACATTATTTAGGCCTAATTCATTAACCCAAATAATGTTCGCCCAAAAAAGGCAATCAACGGATCAAGGAAGTCAAGAGTTACCTCAAACCATAGCCAACATTTTTCTCAAACCAAGGCATCCTGCAACGGATTATTAAAAATTAAATTAATTTTAGTTTGCCAAAAAAGAGAGGAAGATTCAGAAGGATCAGCAATATTCGAAAATCAACAAAGAAAATCCTCTCCGGATTCAACCGATAACAGCAACTGTAAAATTGAAAACGAAAAAATAGAAAAACAAAAAAATATTTCTGAAAATGTTATCTTTAACGGTAATAATACTTCGGTTATTCAACATGCATCTTTTGGGGGTGGATTTAGATCAGATACTCATCAATTATTTTATCAACAAGAATAAATTTTAAAATTTAAATATATAAATATATTGTATAATTTTATGTGTGAAATAAATTTTTTATTTGATACTGAAATTAAATATGGAATAAATTCTGATTTATTTACTTGATTTAATATAAACTTAAAATCAGAATTTTATTAAATCAGAATTTTTATTAAATCAGAATTTTTATTAAATCAAAATTTTTATTAAATCAGAATTTTTATTAAATCAGAATTTTTATTAAATCAGAATTTTTATTAAATCAGAATTTTTATTAAATCAGAATTTTTATTAAATCAGAATTTTTATTAAATCAGAATTTTTATTAAATCAGAATTTTTATTAAATCAGAATTTTTATTAAATCAGAATTTTTATTAAATCAGAATTATCACTTAAATCAAATCAGAATTTTTAAATACTTATTGTTTAACAGTTCTGTTTTGTGTTTATTTTTGTATTTTATTCTTTTGTGTGAAATACAAATTCTGGTTTTTAAATTCTGTTTTTACAATTCTGATTTTTGAGATTCTGGTTTTTTACAATCTTAATTAAAATTCTGGTTTATATTTATGTCTTCACAATTCTGATTGGAATAAATACTTTTACAATCACAACTCAGAATTTGTGTTTTAGTTTAATTAAAAAATACACATCAGAATTAAACATCAGAATATGTGTTTTAGTTTAATTTAAAAAATACAAATCAGAATTAAAAATCAGAATTTGTGTTTTAGTTTAATTAAAAAATACAAATCAGAATTAAAAATCAGAATTTGTGTTTTAGTTAAATAAAAAATACACATCAGAATTAAAAATCAGAATCTGTATTTTAGTTTCATTAAAAAATACAAAACAGAATTAAAAATCAGAATTTGTATTTTACGCCTTAATTAAAAAATATAAATCAGAATTCAAGCTTTATTATTTATACAAATCAGAATTTGTGTTTTAGTTTAATTAAAAAATACAAATCAGAACTATTTACTACATAAAACATAATAATTCAATTGTATTTTCTCTCATCAAATTCAAAATATTTTTATTCTTCAGTTTCTCCATGCGGAATTAATTTATATGGTGGTCTCACGATTTCAGGAGCAGGATCAAAATTTCCATAGTCGGGAGGTGGAGCTTTACAAGTTTCAGAAATAATAATTAACATCAATATTATTGTTAATAAAATATTTATTTTAATCATTTTGATCATTTTTTAATTTATTGTTTTCCTGTGTTCTGGTTTCCCCTTTGCTTTTAAACCGTTAAAAAACACAGTTCGTGTGACCAAGCGTCATTTTGTGTTGGCAAAAATACAAAAACAAAAATACAACAAAAAAATAAAAAATGATTCAATTTTTGCACTCTATAGGGTAAGAAAATTTTTTTTTTGCAAAATTATTTTAAAAAATTTGTTGTTGGATTTATTTTCCAGCAATAATAAAATAAAGACGTCTATTTAAAATAATAAACGTTTTAATTTTTTATTGTTGGAAAAAATTTTTTTTTTCTTACAAAAAAATTTTTTTCCTACGAAAAAAAAAATTTTTTTAACTATAGAGTGCATAAATCAAATAAATTTTTATTGTATTTTTGTCCAAAGAACATTTATAATATGCCCAATATAGACCACACTGGGCCCCATGGAGGTGTATATTTAAAGGGTTTATAAGGGAAGGGAAAACCAGAATATCGGTAAATAATAAATTTTAACAAAAAAAATAATTAAAATAATGAAAATAAATATTTTATTAACATTAATAATGATTATTTTTATTTCTGTATCTTGCAAAGCTCCACCACCCGACTATGAAAATCTTGCTCCAAAGCCTGTGCTCCAGAAACCGCCATTTAAAGTAATTCAGGATTAAGCAGAAACTTGAAAGAAAAAATATTCTGAAGTTGATGAGAGAAAATACAATTAAATTATTTTGTGTTTTATGTAGTAAAACGTTCTGATTTGTATTTTTAATTATTCAAGTTTTAAAATACAAATTCTGATTTTTAATAAAACACAAATTCTGATTTTTTAAAATAAAATACAAATTCTGATTTTTAAATAAAACACAAATTCTGATTTTTAATAAAACACAAATTCTGATATTTTAATAAAATACAAATTCTGATTTTTAATAAAACACAAATTCTGATTTTTTAAAATAAAATACAAATTCTGATTTTTAAATAAAACACAAATTCTGATTTTTAATAAAACACAAATTCTGATATTTTAATAAAATACAAATTCTGATTTTTAATAAAACACAAATTCTGATTTTTTAAAATAAAATACAAATTCTGATTTTTAAATAAAACACAAATTCTGATTTTTAATAAAACACAAATTCTGATATTTTAATAAAATACAAATTCTGATTTTTAATAAAACACAAATTCTGATTTTTTAAAATAAAATACAAATTCTGATTTTTAAATAAAACACAAATTCTGATTTTTAATAAAACACAAATTCTGATATTTTAATAAAATACAAATTCTGATTTTTAATAAAACACAAATTCTGATTTTTTAAAATAAAATACAAATTCTGATTTTTAAATAAAACACAAATTCTGATTTTTAATAAAATACAAATTCTGATTTTTTAAAATAAAATACAAATTCTGATTTTTAAATAAAACACAAATTCTGATTTTTAATAAAATACAACTTCTGATTTTTAAATAAAACACAAATTCTGATTTTTAATAAAATACAAATTCTGATTTTTAAATAAAACACAAATTCTGATTTTTAATAAAATACAAATTCTGATTTTAAATATGAGTAACAAAACTTTAATTCTGAAATCAGAAATTACAAATTCTGATTTTTTAATAAAACACAAATTCTGATTTTTTAATACATAAAACACAAATTCTGGTTTGTATTTTTAATTGAAATTTAAAACACATACCTATTCTGATTTGAACTTTAATTCTGATTTGTATTTTTTTATTCAACTTGAAATTATTATCAGAATTTCTTTTTTCTGATTTTTATATAAACACATATAATTCTGATATTTTATTAAAAATCAAAATTCTGATTTTTTTATTTTCCACTGCGATATTGTTATTCATATAAAAATTCTGATTTGTATTTCCACTGTTCATTTCAGAATTTTAACACAAATAAAGTTTAATTTCTGATTTGTATTTTAGAGTATTAAAAATTCTGATTTAAATTTTTAATGAAACTTTTTCCTTTATACATATGTAAGAGTCAATTAAAAAATAAACCGGTTCTT